GACGAAGGTCATGCTGAATATCGCTCAGTACCTGCCGGCGGATATGAATCGGGCAACTGTTACCATGAACACGTTTCAAGGCTGCCCGCGAGGGAATTGTCTCTCGCCTGTATGGTGGTCGCTAGTAGCAGACAAGCAGAATTAAGCAGATTTGGGTTCAGTCTTACTGATCTGGGGGTGATAATAAAAGAGAAGTGCGAAGGCCATTACAAAAACGAGTCGAACGCCTTGAACTAACAAAAACACTGGAGCTGGGAAGAAGGACTACCTACTATGCATAAATCCCACTGTCTAATTTTGTTCACAGTCTAAATGGAACACATGTATCTTTGTCGGATGAGGTAAAGTATTATGGGGATAAATCCAAAACTGGTATATCTACCAAACGGTTATCAGATCGAGTTGGTTAAATAAGCTACTCTTCGGAGCGAATTAGCAAGAACAACGGCTGCCTTGTCTAGGAATAAGAGGGGGTATGTTCCTCTAGTTATGGAGTAATATAAAATTGCACAAGCGGACAATGCGTCGCTGTGGTGCACAGATAGTACGAAGATAACGGAGGGAGTCGACTTGAAAATAAATGAACCAAGCTATAAACTTTCCTTAGCATGGAATAATGCCCAAAATGTTTTAAGCCGAACTACTTGCTATAAATACCTATACACAGGAGTCCATTAAAAAAGGCTTCACATTTTCTTCCTGTCAGATAGCCAAGCGGCTCTAAAATCTCTATAAGAACTCCCAAGTGTACATCGCAGTTGGTTTGGGAAGGCAAAAAGATCTTCAAGCAATTGGCTGCGAGGAGCGAGGTATTCCTGATGTGGCTTGGGGCTACAACACTTTTCCAAGGCCTAGCAAAGAGTCACCTCAGGAAGGAACTAAACAGATTGAAAAAGAACCAATTGCTAACTCATTGGAGATCCACTTATTAGATTTGATAGTTCTTTAGTATGAATACTATTTATTAAATGTAACTATAATGACAAATATATTGACAATACTCCAAAACTGGTAATCTAACAATGTGAGCACCAACTTGTATATCGGTCCATACGGTCCATACACAACAGTCCTCCCAACTATATTTAAAACTATAAGTCGATTCGTTTAACTGGTTTCCGGATTCGATTTGATCTTCGGTATATTTCAGTGGTATGTTGTTCACTTTGGCCTTCTTTTCTTTCTTCATTCATTCTTGAATTTTCCATGTTAGTAATGTCTTGCGTTTCGGCTTCTGAATGGCCATTTCTGTTGCTAGTGGAACTCGGAATTTGGTTTTCAATATCATTGGTATTTGTGGTATTTGGGATCTCAGAGTTATCATAATTGTGTGTTGTAGTAGTTGACATAGTTTTATTGTGGATGATTGTATGAGGTATGTTTCCCTCAGGAAATTTAGGTGACATCCTTTGTAAATCGACTTCTGTAGCCTCCATTTGGTCAATATGTCTTCTCCAGATTCTACCATCATAAATTTCAACTAAATAATGTAGCAATCCTTGTTTTTCAGTTACATTACCAAATTCCCATTTTTTTGAATTATTTATATAGTTACGTACCCGCACTTTATCGCCTACCTAAAATTCTCGTGAAGGATAAAAAAAATTCCTATTATCTTGAACATCGGTTATCTCAGTTGTTCGAATTAAATCAATTTTGGTACGAATGTCCAAGTTCATTAACATCATACAAGGTTGATCACCTGTACTACTATGTGATGTTTTTCTGTAATGAAGTAAAAAATTTGCTAGCTTGCAATTTATATCTCCAGAATCTTGTGACATTTTTCTTAATGCATTTTTAACTGTCTGGACATATCTTTCCGCCTGTCCATTAGTTGCTGGGTGATATGGTGCGGAGAACCGATGTTTAATGCCATTTGATTTCAAAAACATCTTAAATTCATTGGAAGTATAAGTTGGTCCATTATCGCTTACCATTACGATAGGCAAACCAAATCTAGCAAAAATATCTCTCAAAACACGTATTGTCTTTGTAGCAGTAATTTGATTCATTGGTATTACTTCCAACCATTTTGAATATGCATCCACTAGGATCATAAAAAAAATTCCGTAAAAAGGACCTGCAAAATCTATGTGTAATCTATGCCAAGGACTTTTGCTTTTCTCCCAACAATGTATTGTCTTTTTAGGTTGATTTTGTGATAATTGACAGGTGATACAAGATTTAGCAATATTCTCTATATCTTTATCAATATTACCTCACCAAACGTATGATCTTGCCAGATTCTTCATTCGGAATATTCCTAAATGGCCTTCATGTAATTCTTCTAAAATTCTGTTCTGTAAACTATTTGGTATCACTATTCTATTATTTTTCATTATAACTCCATCAGCTAAAGAAAATTCAACATCTCCTCCTATAAAACCTTCTTTTTCGATGATTTTTCCCTGTGATAAGCAATTATAAATGTCTTGTAGGTTTTCTTCTTTCCGTGTTTCTTTGGCAATTTCTGTGTGTTTGACAGGTAATTTTATAATTTGCTGTAACTGGTAAGCATTCACATCGTCACAATTATAGTTATTTCCATTTTCGTCATATTCTTGTGGTAATCTTGACAAAGCGTCAGCATTGGCATGGTTTGAAGTTGAACGATAAATAATTTTGAAATCAAAACCTTGTAAAAATTGAGCGTAGTGTAACATTCTTGTAGCAACCATTGAAGGTAAATGTTTTTCTGGACTAAATATTCAAACTAAAGGTTTGTGATCCGTAATAAGTATAAATTTCCTCCCGTAAAGGTACTGAAAAAATTTTGTGACACCCCAGTAAATAGCAGTCGCTTCTTTATCAATCTGACTGTAATTTTTCTCAGATTTATTAAGCCTCCTTGAAGCGAATGCAATGGGTTTTTCGGATCCATCTGGAAAATTATGGGACAGCACTGCTCCTAGAGCATATGGACTAGCATCTGTAGCTAACGAAAGTGGAAGATCTGGATTGTAAATGCATAAAACTTGAGGAGAAACGATTCCTAATTGTATCCAGTTATAAACTTCTTAACATTCTTCTGTCCATTGGTATGGTACTTCTTTCTGTAATAAATTATAAAGTGGTTGTAATTTTCTAGCAATGTCTTTTAGAAACTTCCCATAATAATTTACCATTCCTAACCAACTTCTAAGTTCAGTTATATTGGTAGGTCTTCTAGCATTCTTGACAGCTTCTATTTTCTCATCGGATTTTTCCAAACCATTTTCGGATACAATATGCCCTAGATATTTAACTGATTTTTCAAAAAATCTACATTTTTACATCTTAACTCTCAAACCTGCTTCCTGTAATCATTTGATCCTTGAATTTTGATATCGTCCGAAAATACACATACTCCTGGAATATCTTCCAACGTTCTGGAAATGTACCGTTGCCATATAGCTGGGGCAACTTTGGTACCAAACATTAACCTATTTACTTTGTAGTCTCCTCTCGGTGTTGTAATAGCTTGAATCTCTGCACTTTTTGCATTCATTGACATATGTAAGTAAGCTTCTCGAATATCTAATGTTGTAAATACTTTACCACCCAACATCGTCTTTGCAAAAATATCTTCTACGTTAGGCATTGGGTATTTGTCATCTTTAAGTAGGTACTTTATTAATGGTTATTTTATAATCCGCACACAATCTTATTAATCCATCTTTTTTTATTATTGGAACAATTGGAGTTCCCCATTCGCTGTATTCTAGTTTACTAATAATTCCAGCGGCTTCCAGTCTCCTAATTTCTTCGATGACCTTTTCTTCTATGGCATAGGGTATTTTTCTTGCAGGGATGTTAATTGGCATTGCATTATCTTTGAGGTATAAATTTGCTTCATTTTTTTAAATTTTTCCTATTTCAGGTTTAAATACTTCTTCAAATTTAAGCCATCCAACCCAACAAGCTGGCTGTTTTTGAAAAAAAAACAAGAAGTCTTGGACACCAACTAAAAGCAGTCATGCACAAAATATCTGGAAAGGCAACAGCTCTGAGCAGCTATATTGGTCCGAAACGACTTCACATGCAATATACAATCTACAATCGGAGTTCTTGAAACTACCTTGTCATTCAGGATTGATAGGCGCCTTCCAAAAAAATGTCGAGTTACCTACTAGCGGCTTTCCTCCAGGATTTGTTCTGACCCTCTTCCATGTTTTGTCTATCCTCCAATGTGCTCGGTCTTCAAGCTAGTGTCCCATTTTCTGCTCCATGTTATTTTAGTTTTGTGCCCTCTCAAGGTCCGTTTCCGGCATATTGCGATAGTGTGCTATACGGTATCTACGTCTTCTCTTCGCAGTAGGTACATTTATCGTCTGTTTTAGATATTTTTCAGTGTATTAGGAATATCCCATAACTAGTAGCTAAGAGTTACTGTGATAAGGTAGTACCAGGTATTTTTATCCCATTCATTATCTAAGCATCAGGTTTCACATCTATCAGAAACCTTCATCAGATCAGTCTCAAAGGAACCATACTTTTGCAAGCTCAAATAGCCACTATACTTCACACTATATTACCAGACCCTACCTTAACTTTCCGATGGACTTGGGCATACCAGACTACCAATCTGCGATCTAGAAATGATAAAGAAATTTATTGACAATAATAGCACCTGGCATTTTTCTGATGTGCAGAACTAATGAATATTCCGCCCTTACTAATCAGTTTGTCGGGCGTTTAGAATTTTTTCCGTTCTTGACACGTCACGTAGTTTCATTTGGAAACTTTTTGTGTCATAAAAGTTGTCGGTCGTCTGAATCAATGTGTTGCAAGTGTTGCAAAATCAGAAATTTCCTCCGACGCCATCAAAAAATGATCCTACTATCGTAGAGCTAATCAGTTCCTTAAATGAAGTTCAAATAAACCTAAAATTTCCATAATAAGTTATTGTCAATGGAATCCTTAGTAATAATTTTCACTATACCATACGAAGGTTCAAAAAAGAAACCGCAGTTTTACCAGAATTCCATCCAATGTTGAAATATAAGTTTTGTTAGCAGGTTTTGGCCGTCCCGGCTACATGAAATCCAGAACGAAAGGTCAAGGAACGTGTGCCAACTTTTGGAGGGCCGAAAAACGGTTTCGGTTCGGCATACGTCACATGGTCAAAACCCAATGGTTCTATTGGACCGTCATTATGCTCGTATTTTTCAACACTTTTTGTGTGGCAGTCGAGTACCACGGACAACCAGAGTGGTTGGACAAATTTTTATGTAGGAACTTAATATTAACCTAAAACTGACTCTAACACATACATTTTTAGATTATGCCGAATACGTCTTCTTAGGGTTGTTTATGTCGGAGATGTTTATCAAAATGTATGCACTAGGACCAAGAATATATTTTGAGTCAGCATTCAATAGATTCGACTGCGTGGTAATCTCAGGCTCCATTTTTGAAGTGATATGGAGCGCAGTTAAAGGTGGCTCTTTTGGTTTGTCGGTACTCAGAGCATTAAGATTGCTTAGAATTTTCAAAGTAAGTATTAGGTGAAACAACAACAAAAAGTAATTTAAAAAATAATTATTTTTTCAGGTAACAAAATATTGGTCTTCACTACGTAATTTGGTAATATCGCTGCTCAACTCTATGAGATCTATTATTTCTTTGTTGTTCCTTCTCTTCTTGTTCATCCTTATTTTCGCCTTGCTCGGAATGCAATTGTTTGGAGGACAATTTAACTTTGATGGGGGCACTCCTGCTGCCAATTTCAATACTTTCCCCATTGCTTTGTTAACTGTCTTTCAGGTAAAATTTATTAAAAACAAAAAAATAAATATATTATTTTTGTATCAAAATTTTTCTAGATTCTCACCGGTGAAGATTGGAATGAAGTGATGTACAATGGTATTAACGCGCTTGGCGGTCCGAATAGTGGAGGAATGGTTTATTCACTATACTTTATTATTCTTATGTTGTTTGGTAATTATACTCTTCTGAATGTCTTCTTGGCTATCGCCGTTGATAATTTAGCGAATGCACAGGAACTAACTGCTGCTGAAGAAGAACAAGCTGAAGAAAACAAAGTAAGGATCTATTATCTATTATGTTTTTATTTTCGAATATCGCCATACATTTCTTATAGGAACAAAGATAGAGCGAGTATTGCAATTTTTTACATAATAATCCACTAATTTAATTTTTCTCTACAAGGTTAGTTACATAGTTATTAAAGCATTTTTCCTTTAGGAGAAACAAGCGTTAGAATTAGAAAAAGAAATGGAAGCTCTGCAAATGGAAGGTAGTAATCCGAGAGTAGAAGTCTGTCCACCTAGTCCAACCACAAGCAGAAGAAAAAAGAAAGAAGAGAAACCCGAGGAAGAGGAAGAAATTGTCGGGCCAAAACCAATGCTGCCATATTCTAGCATGTTTATATTATCTTCTACAAATCCGTAAGTAAAATGCTTCGTCTTCTTGTAACGATTTCTGATTTTCTTATATGCTCTAGGCTTCGTCGAGGTGCTCATTGGGTAGTCAACCTCCGTTACTTTGATTTTTTTATAATGATTGTCATCTGTATGAGTTCAGCGGCCCTTGCGGCCGAAGATCCAGTAGATGAAAAATCGTTCCGCAACAACATTTTAGATAAATTCGATTACGCCTTTACTGGAGTATTCGCCGTAGAAATGTTTCTCAAAATTATCGACTTGGGAGTCATTTTACATCCGGGATCCTATTTGAGAGAATTCTGGAATATTATGGATGCCGTTGTAGTTGTTTGTGCCTTGGTATCCATGGGATTCGATGTTTGGTGAGAATTGTCCACGATCCCTAAAATAAAACGGTCGGGACCATAAATAACACCTCCACTGGTGTGATGTCTGAGGGACATGTTTTTTTCCATCCTCAACAATTTATTGGCTCCGGACCGTTTTAATATACATTGACTATGAATTTGTTATTAAAAATATCAATTTTCAGGGGCGGAGGTGGAGCGGCAGGTGCCAACCTTTCAACAATGAAGTCGCTCCGAGTACTCCGAGTCCTTCGACCGTTAAAAACAATTAAACGAGTGCCCAAATTGAAGGCGGTCTTCGACTGTTTAGTGAACTCTCTAAAAAATGTGATAAACATTCTTATAGTGTATATATTGTTCCAATTTATATTCGCTGTCATTGCTGTGCAGTTGTTCAATGGAAAATTTTTTCATTGTACCGACGGAAGTAAGATTACGGAAGCAACTTGCCAGTAAGTGATATGATTTATTCAAATATTTGTAAAAAAAAATCCAAGTAATGAGTAGGTGCGATTAGGCAGCTGGATAGCTCTGCTTTAAGAAAGTTGAATAACAACGACCCTGCTATGCTGAAGAGAATCAAATATCTGCTATATTTATATTCCCGACTAAAGAGTTATCCAGGGCATTTAAAAATAAATATGTATCTCTCTGTTATCTTAAGGTCGGGTCATATGTCTATTGAATTATTCGATATGGTAGAGTCACAAAACGTTCGGCATGGATTTTTTTCGCTCATCATTTTTTCCCGCAAAATGCCGAAACACCTAAAAATATTTAGTTTTTCAATCCTTTTTTGTGCAAGGTAATTGCAGACACTCCAAAATCTGTTCAAAAATTAAAACCTTATGGATACTAGCGATTACCTTTGAAAAATCTTGTAGGTGGAGTGTTTTTAAGGGTAATAGTGCTAGTGATGTTAGGGAGGAAGATGATGAATTACTAGGGGTTGGTTATTTGAAAGGGAGAAGATAGAATGAAATTCTGAAATCGTCGAATGCAGGTGTTCAGATTCCTGTGACTGTTATCCAGTGAATATTTGCCGAAAGATATTCAAATAAAATCAAATCAAATACCGCTTTATTGTTTTATGGAAAATGAAATGTTATTGAAAATTTTAAGAAATAAATGAGCATACAAAAACGATAAAATAAAATAAAATGAAATGATGCACACAAGTAAAAAGACAATTAAAATGAAATAAAGCAAAGTAGCACACATATTATAGAGGACGAATATTTCATTTAATCAGTACTTTCCAGCAGCCAAACTACAGCACCAAAAAACTACGTAGGTATATGAAAATGTCATCCGAATAGAAATAAAAAGAAATGAATTTTGACATCGCCTAAGAAGTAGGTATTCCTGCATACCATAATATGACTTCACCTGTTCTTTAAATAAAAAATAGTACATATGATCGTTGATTGAGAAAAAAACAGAAAATCCAATACATAAGTGGGCGAATTCACCCAGAAACAAACATCATACCTCAAATCTAATTCAGAAGCAAAATAGGCTTTTTTATCCACTTTTGCTTTTGTATTGGTTTGCTCTCAATTGTTCCCAGAAATTCAGTAAAGTCTAGCCTTGTGATGGACTGTGAGTCAATCCCACATTTCGAAAAAAATCTGAAATATAAAATATTAACTTTTCTTTGTGGAATTTTGGATAACGAAGATAGGAAGCATAATGGTCTGTAGTTCGAGGCCGTATCTTCCCCCCCACCCTTGAAGACGCGATTCACACATAGCTCGCTTCAGCAAATCTGGAAATTCGTCATTTATAAGAGCGGTGTTAATGCAAAGAGCCAATGTTGAGTTGAAAGTGTTGCCATGGGTAGATTTGCAAAAATTTCATCATCTCAGCCTGGAATACCTTTCTTCTGTAGACCCTTTTGTTAATGAATTAACAAGAGACCCATGTTATGCTCAGTTTGCTCAGCGAGTAATTATTAGGGGTAGGTCAATAGTTTAATAAGTACAGAATGGCAAGGGCGCCACTGAATTTGTAAAAATAAATAATTAAATTACCTAAAATGTGAAAATTCAGAAACACACCTAAAAAAATTAATTAGCAAACAGTATTTGATAATTTTGAAAAGGGAATAAATAAGGCATACAACTCAACAATGTCTTGACATAGATACAACTAATAAAACACTCAAGCAATTTTCAAATCAAAATAGTATACACTACGCACCTAGCCAGAAAATTCAGATGGAGGGGTTTTCGCTGTTGAAATTAAAAAATATTGCATGACCTCGAGGGTGTCAGAAAAAAAATTGCGTTGCAGGCGAAAATTTTGTAGAATTTCAAGTTCAAATGCTTCATATGAAATAATAGATTTCTAATAATTTCCAGAAGTGGTTTTTAATTAAACTTTCTGATCAAGTGGGGCCCCTGCGTATGTATTTCCACAGTGATATCGACATCAGATTCACAATGAGGTTAAAAATCAAGCATTAAAATTCAATAAGATAAAATCAATTGTTCAACATTTTAAATAAAATAGCTGGAGGTTCTCAGCTATCATCAAATGTGGAGGTACAGGAGTCAATACGTGAGGGACTTGATTCCTCCAGGATATCTTTTCAAAATCTCTATGCCCATGCTTCATGAAAATGGTGATCTTTAGAAATGTGGGCTTGTTGGAGACAGTTTCGTCGAAAGAAACGAGCTCTTCGAAAGAAACAGCTCCTCGACCCTAAGTATAGAGGCCGGCATTCCAATAACAACCATTACTTTTGAAGAAATTAAAAAGAACTAATAGTACGGGATACGAGACCTATTTCATCAAATCATTTCACACCGTCTTGCATTGTTATCATCAGTTAGATAATATGGTGCTGAAACGCACTTGTGCAAGGAAATAGTTGGGGGTGGGGGATTTCGCTGAAAAAAATGTTTAAGAAGATGTCGTCATAAACGAGGGAAATATATAATTATACACCGTCTTGCATTCATTTATTCAGTTAATTTGTACACAAACAGAATTGGATCAACCTATGCAAGACATTTTCATGGGGGCGATGGTTTGTAATATTAGATAGAAAGTGTCCATTTTTGAGTGGGGTCAAATATCATTTTACACCACTCCACTGTGGATTTAGATTAAAGCTTGAATGCAAGATAGCCACTGGATACTAATGCAAGACGTCCTGTGGCGGGATTACGGGCCGCAAGACGGAAGTTAATGCGTTGTCTTATGAGAGAATGAAAAATCATTTTACACCGTCTTGCACTAGCACCAATGGGGAAAACAGAATACATTGATAACATTTTTGAAAATACAAGACGTTCTAAATAAGAAAAAAGGACTGCAAGACGGAGATGAAGATGACTAACTTTGACGGGGGTCACAATCCACCTGGGCACCTGGTATAAAGGTGAATAATACTCCAAATAACAAATTAAGCGCGTATTACATCTGTGTATTTTTCCGTGTATTTCTTCATGTAGTTCAGGGTGTCAACATTATTTTGTTTTTCATAATGCTGATTTATGTTGCGTTTGAAGTTTTTCGGTTGTCACCCTGAACTACATGAATAAATTCACGGAAAAATACACAGATGTCATACGGGCTTTACGCACATTAATTTCAGATTTTTTTGCTATTGTCCACGTGGATTAATTCTATTTTGCAAAATTGCATATCTCTACGAGCATCAAATGAAAAAAGATTGAAAACTGTTGATTTTTTTTGACGGCTTATGATCATTTAAGTTCTTTTTGGGGTAGATACAACACATAACTCATACCGGATTGTAAGCAATACATTTGAAAAAAAAAAACATTACATCACTTTTATTAAATTGTTTTAACAAAGATTTATAACAAAACAGGTGACATACTGCAGAAATGAAATAAGTCTTAAAAAACTTGATGCAAGAAACAGGAAATCTGTTCCATTATCACACGATACATATATTCAAATGAGGCAGAGAGCACACTAGCGAAATAATTTCTGCTTTGTTTTTCAGAAACTCCAGTGTCCTCCGTCTCATTTGAATGTATGTGTCGTGTGATAATGAAACAAATTTCCAGTTTCTTGCAACAAGTTCCATGAAACTTATTTCTCCAGTGTGTCACCTGCCCAACTAATCAGTTCCACTTCCAAAATCAGTATCTTCAAAATCTATAGGAGTGTATTCGTACGTAGTTTCTTCTACGCCAAGGTCTTCATTGTCGCTGCCATCATCCTCACTCGTATCGAATTCGTATTTGACGTCCGTATTGGAAATTTCCTCATCATCGTCTTCATCACTATCTTCACGATATGAAAGTTTATATGTATATGATTAAATAGAAGCTGTTTGCAACATGTATTTTTGTTGTCGTTGACGCTATATCATTTTCTGGAATTACCTATAACAATATCGCTGATAACTCCTGTAGGTAATGCTGGACCATCAAACCAATTAAATACTAATTTATTTCCCTCCAACTTCCAGCCGCTTTCAGTTGGACTACAGGGTAATATTTGTAACGGGTGTTTCAGATGTGCATGTCGCCACATATGACCTATGTATCTACTTCGTGACAAATGCTGACGAAGCTCTGCTTGACAGGGTGGAATGGTCGACGCGTCGAAATCCATCAAGCGTTTCATAATTCGCTCCTTCGAATTTTTTGTTTGGTACACTTTAGAAAACAGCCCTATACGTGCGTCATTTACATTTTTCATGTTTCTCAAACAATACATATGACAAACAAATTCTTCCAATGTTGCATATGTTTGTGGTATTATGAGTTCAGAAGAATCAACCAAAATGTTGAAAGAATTTTGGAAACGCGTTTAAGCCTCCAGCAATTTGTATGGCCGCTGCTTATCTCTTCTACAAAATGCTGGATTCTGGTCGCATCCGGTCAGAGCATGAAATCCCGCCAACGAGCAACTTAGTGTTTCACCCAATTGCTGATACAGTTTTGTAACATTTAAATTTCTCACATTGTTACCAACCCCAAGCCGCATCCATATGGTTAAATTTGTTTTCAAAAACTTCATATTGGCCAGACGTTTTTATAGCTCCATTGCTAACGGCATATATCATGTCTTCAGAAAATGATTTAACGAGCCTTTCACATTTGGTACTTTTCTTCTTTTTTAAATCGAAACCACTTAACAATGTCGACCAAAAAAGTATTAAAGGTTCGGGTATATCGCATTCACCCTGTATCAATTGTTGTGCATTGAGCTCTTCTGGTAAAGTATTAGTGTCAATATTTTTAATTTCATCCCTTAATGATAATGCGGCTTTCCTTATTATTGAATTAATTTTTAATCTTGAAATGAATGTATCAGCTAGTTCATTAATACCCCCATATGCAAGTACCGTTGATCCCTCCACTTCTAATATTTGAATTTTCTCACCAAAGGTTGCCAGCAATTTTTTTTTCAGGTAACTGGTACAAAATATTCCAACATCTAAGGAAACATTATCATATTGTTCCTTCAGAATTATTTGAAAATATTGGCATATATCGGAATACAATGCGCAACGTTTCTTGGACAAAATCTCCGCATTAATATATTCGCAAAGATTTTGATAAGCTTTCTTGTAGTGGTTGCGACGATCATGCCAGGCAGTATGTTTATCAGATAATTTTTTATTCATTTTGTTTAGATAACTTCGGTAGCAAACTTTATGATAGATAAAAGGTGAATTGGAAGCTACGTAGAAACTTAAATCCAATAAAACATCTATGTCGTTCACTTCAGTTGCAATAGTTTTCATTTTTTTCAGAAGCCTGTCGGATTTTGCAACAATTAATAATTGCAAACGGCCATTCCTCCTTTTATTGCACTTACGACAGAAGAAACATTTTTGATCAGGTTGTCCATGGAAATCTTTTAGGTCTTGAAGGTTACTGAAAAAAAAAAAAGAAATACCAACCATGACTATAACTGAACACCTGATTTTGAATATACTATATTGAATTATACTGATACTTTTATTACCTGGTGTTCGCGCCCTCATCTGCTGATGTTCTCTGAATTTTTTGGTCTCGTTCGATATCGGCAGTGTGAACAGTAGCCGTAGAAGGTGAAATGGAACAGCAATAATCTAACGTCAAAGAAGGCTGTCCAGCACTGTTAGAAGGCTGTCCAGCACTAGTAGAAGGCTGTCCAGCACTGGTAGAAGGTATCAAAGAATGCAAAGGTGCACTCACATTAGGTGGAGGATGCTTTACTTTTGGTCTTGGTTTATATTTATTAAAATCTACAGCAGAAAATCGCCTGTAACATGAAGAATGATAGCCGGCTTCTCCATCATTCACAGCCTCTGGCATTTTAACCTTCTTGAATTTCAAATCGTTATATGTTCTGATTTTTAATATGTTTTTACATTTATCTAATAAAGATTCATTCTCGAAAAGCTTACATTTTTCATTTGATTCTTTCCGACAGAAAATGCATAAAGCCATCGTACGTAATCTGCTAGAAGAAAAATTATTATTTTTTAATAATACTAGCTATGACATACTTACGTTCTGTTATGTTCAACTATAGATCTCGGGAATAATGAGTATTTATTTTTTTTTTTAAATTTTTTCCAAGCAGCAAAAAATGACAGATCTGTCTGAAATTAAATTATAATTCCTGTATTCAGCAGACTCCCCTGTTGAACTGCTATGGCAACTGTCATTTTTCATCTATATGATTTAGAAAAGAATGAACAGTGAACGGGTTCAGTAAATAACTCAATAGTTCAGTGAAAAAAAAAAAACGGATTTATGTAATTTTTTCCCCGAAAAAACGTCTTGTACTGATGTATCACTATTTCTTAACATATATTTTTTCGGCGAACATACGCATGAAGTGGTGTAAAATGATTTTTCATTCCCTCATGAGACAACGCATTGACCTCCGTCTTGCATCCCGTCATCCCGCCGCAGGAAGTCTTGCATAAGTATCCAGTGGCTATTCTACATTCAAGCTTCAATCTAAATCGACAATGGATTGGTGTAAAATGATATTTCACCCCTCTCAAAAATTGACACTTTATATCTAATATTGCAACACAAAACCCCCATGAAAACGTCTTGCATAGGTTGATCCAATTCTGTTTGTGTACAAATTAACTGAATAAATGAATCCAAGACGGTGTATAATTATATATTTTCTTCGTTTTTGACGACATCTTCTTAAACATTTTTTTCAGTGGAATCCCCCACTCCCATCTATTTCCTTGCACAAGTGCGTTTCAGCTTCATGTTATCTAACTGATGATAATAATGCAAGACGGTGTAAAATGATTTGATGAAATAGGCGTCGTATCCCGTACTATAACCACGACGGGTCGAAAATCAAACTTGACTAAAACAATAATCACAAGACTTTTGATTTAAATTTTTTCGGTAATCAACGGAACTTTGTCTTACGCAAGTTTATTTGATTGAACTAGTGCCTGATAGCCGATAAGGTACTTTCCTCCACGAGAACGGTAATAACACGTGAGGAAGATGGCTGCCCCCAGGCCAGGCTCAATCTCAGCCTTCCAGGTCGAAAGTCAAAATTTAAAACAGACGAAGAATAGGACAAGCTGAACAAGCAGAGCCTCCCTTCATTTCCCAGCATTTCACATGCTATAGTTCTTAGATTGTGACAAAATTGAGATGTTATGTAAGAATCTCAGACTGTAAGAATTGATATTTTGGCAGCGTGAATAATTCTGTCACGTCTTAAAATTTCGTGATAAATTATGCTGAAAAGTAAATTTGATCTGAAGCAGTAAATAACAGTTTTCTGAACCGGAGGCAATCTGAATGAAATCTTCTTTCTTCTCTTCTTGAAGTGGTTATTGAAAGTTAGTAGAGACTCAAAATTAGTACCACTTACCATTTTTCTGCTGAAGCTGAAAACACCTTCAACCGCACAAACCGGCATGTAAGACCTTTCTATGCCACCACAAGTATTTTAAAGGGGATTCTAAAACCAGAAAAGGAAAGACTAAAAAGAATACCACTCAAGGAAAAATTATTAGGCAAAATTTTTTTCTTGGTTTTATTCAAGTTTGTTGCTTTTTGGTAATTTCGCTCATGAAATTGACCTTTTGTTTGGACGCCATATTGCGGTGCGCGAACATAGTTGCCAAAAGTAGAAAAAAAAATACTAGCGTACTGTCAACATTAGGTCAGTTCGGCTTGGCAAAACGGTGTTCGTGCGGATAAAGAACAGATTCATAGTCACGTACGATCACAGAGTGAAAAGAGTAAAATCGTTAAGTCGAACGCATCAGGAGCAAGGCGAGCCGCGGCCCGCGAATGCCGCGGGCGCTTATCCCCATCACAAACCGGAACATGTGTTTTTGTGGATATTTTGGGGAGCGATGCAATTTTTTCTACCAGAGCCCCAGAAGGCAAACAAGCCCTAAGCAAAAAATATCTTCTTTGAATTTTTTAGGTTAGGATCGTTAGCTTCATCTCACGAGATGGTGCTTGTTGAGTTAACTTTTTTCACTTTACTTGGCTGTACCCGAACGATGAGGAGTTTGCACTATTTGCTCCCAGTGACCTGACCCAAACGATTTTGCAGTGAAAAGTGTCAAAGGAGTCAAAAGAGTTGCCAAGCCGAACTCACCTATTAAAAACAAAAGTTACTCAATAAATTACATTTAAAATTTAAATTTGCCGTCTATTACGAATGTTTTTGAAAAGAAAAGCCATCAATTTTAACTTGTATTGGGCAGAATAGAAATAATAAAATATCTACCTATTCACTTTACCAAATTTCGGTTTCCTTTCTCAAGCCTATAAAAAAAAATATAACCGCGAAATTCGCTCTTTTTTGACATTGCTTCGACAATTTGACGTTTTATGCGTGAATCAAACGTCAAATTGTCGAAGCAATGTCAAAAAAGAGCGAATTTCGCGGTTATGAGTACTAGGCTTTATTGTTTAAAAAATCAGACAGAGAAAGTAAACAAACAAAAAGGATAGCGAGGATCAATCATTTAGTTACTTTTGCTTTTAATGTCGACAGCCCGCTAGTAATTTTTGTTTTCTTCTTTTGGCAACTATGTTCGCGCACCGCAATATGGCGTCCAAACAAAAGGTCAATTGCCAAGCAACAAACTTTCATACCAGTCGAAAATTTTGCTATCAAAATGTTTTCTCTTGTGGTATTAGTTCTGTTCGAACTCGACATGTAAACCATTCTAGAACGGTAATTTCCAGTTGCCCACCTATTTTTCAATAAGTTGAACGTTTATCCTAATTGACAAATGAATTGTTCGACTGGAAATTACCGTTCTAGAACGGTTCTCATGTCGGGTTCGAACAAAACTATTATACAGGGTGTCCCAGAATATGTGGGCAATCTCTCGGATTCAGATAGAACGCAAAAAAATAACATGACAACTTCCTATAAAAAAAAATTCCTACGGCCCCCCCTACAAAGTTACGTGCCCTTAAAGGACGCCACTGAAAATTGGTTTTTCTACTTGCGTGCGCAAAGTAATAACTTTGCACACTCATTTGCGTGCGCAAAGTTGAACTTTGCGCACGGAAACTCTTTGCGCACTCATTTTTATTATGCATAATTGCCATAGTTATACTTGATTTTTCAATGTTTTGATGGTTTCTGAATAAACTAATATTCAAAATGAAAGCTTTTAATTGAAATTAACTCTTAGTTAACATGATGTTTCTTATCAAAGGTGTCCAAATTGGACCAGTCTGTACTGTTAGAAATTTGTAAAATTTTTGATATTTAAGAGACTCTCATGAAAATATTCTTGTTGATTCTAGAAATTCCAGAAGATGTGAAATGATTTTTGGGTATTTAATTTAAAAAACATTCTGAGGAATTCCAATAGATTTTAAATGATTTTTGAAGATTTTGATTTGATTGATTTTTCTAATATTTTAACAATTCAGAGTCTACTTTTTCAAGATACTGGTAGAAAAAATATTGTTCCTAACACTTGCGCAAAGTGTCTTTCCCGCACTCAAAGCTTATCCGAACTCCGCTTCGCGTCGTTCGTCTAACTGCTTTTTCGTGCGGGAAAGTATCACTTTGCGCACTTGTTAGGAAAATAACTATTTTTGTTGATAACTTTCAAAATACTTCGTGTATTTTTTTTTTCTTTTAATATGATGGATACTAGATAAGACCCCTTAAAATGGACCCTTTCAAACACACTTGGCCAATCTAGTTTGCCAGTGACGGACTAGCTTTAACACAATAATGCTAATTTTTGTTACACCCTGTATGATATAGGCATAGCAATAATATTTTTAGATAGTTTCAACCTTGAACTAGAAAAAAGATACTCTCATTCGATGTCGAAAAAATGAGCTGCTTTCGAGAAAAATCTGTTTTTGTGTATTAATGGTTTTTTATTAAATAATTTTTTATGTCGAATCAACATGAAATCCTTCTAATCTTATGCATTCCATACCTATTTTAATGAAAGATTGTGCGAATCTCGACAATGCTTCAATATTAGCCCTTATTTCGCGACAGTGAAAATTAATGCTTTCTACTAATATTTCCTCAGTGTCATTATTGCGTTAAAGCTAGTTCGTCCCTGGCAAACTAGATTGGTCAAGTGTGTTTCAGAGGGTTCATTTTAAGGGGTCTTATCTAGTATCCATCATACTAAAAGAAAAAAAATTACACGGAGTATTTTGAAAGTTATCAACAAAAAACCGATTTTCAGAGGCGTCCTTTAGGGGCACTTAATTTTGTAGGGGGGGCCGTAGGAATTTTTTTTATAGGAAGTTGTCATGTTATTTTTTTGTGTTCTATCTGAAACCGAGAGATTGCCCACATATTCTGGGACACCCTGTATATATATGATAAAAAGAAGGCAAGGTAAAATAAATAAATAAAAAAACTAAAATTACCTTATTTAACCCAATGAACTATAAACTACACGTCCTGGAATGGCCCGCCGATCCATAAATTTGCGGCAAATTGAGATGGAGAATGTGGGGTAAACCTATATCTATTTATCTTATCGGCAAATTATGGAAATCTTTCTTTGTCTAAAAAATAATATATTTGAGGTTAGGAATATACCAAACCTAACAGCAATGAACTGGAGAGAGAAAGGAATCCCTCACTATGTAGCTTTTTTAGACGCACTAAGCGAGATGACAAATGCCATACAAATGCCATAGTTATGCGACAACAGTCGGTGCCATTCCAGATACGTGTAGTTTATAGTTCATAGATTTAACCACAAACAATTCAAACTAAAGAAAAATTGAAGAGAAATGAAAGAAAAGCGAGTATTTCCCAATTAAGGGATTTGGTTCCAAATATGACACTTTAATGGAATTTA